AACGGCTGCATACGCAGCGGGCGCCGGGTGCATCGGCGTCGCCCCCACCCACTTGTCCCGAGTTAGCGCTGCGCGGGTCGCGCAAGGCAACGTCAACATACTGAACATCCTACGACAGACTACGGACAACCATCCCCAAATCTGTCACGGGACAACGAAACATCTACAAGTCTGATATAACGTTCATACCAAGCCCAGATTTACAAGGAAATGTATACAATATGTGCATGCCAATTTCAGAGTATAAGGTATAACAGTGCCTAGTAATGCACAACTGTTTATGTGTAAGTATTGTGCACGATTGCGCATAAACAAAATGACAAAAAAACGCCAATAACATTGAAAAGGTCTAGGTTTCATTTAACAAGAGTGGTTTTGAAGTTTTTTCAGAATGAGAAAGTTACCGAAGCTATGGTATCACAAAATTGGTTTCAAAACATTCAAGAAATGTTTCATGCACGAACAGATTGCGAAACCAGGTGATACTAATTTGATAATTGTATTATGTTTCTATTATGTTTCTAATATTTCAATTGGGAGTTCCAAGGGGTCTACAACTCGCCTCGGCCGTGAACTTTTGAGTACAGATTGTATAAGGATTATAGCGTGATAATAAGATTATAGAATGATTGTAAGATTATATATATTGTATTGAATGTAGAATGACCATAAGTTTAGGAAGAGGAGGGAATACCACTTTCCACGCGTGTCGCAGCACGGGGAAATACCGTGCGCGCAGGAAGGGAATAGGGGGCGGGGGGTACTTAGATAGCCATGATTACTCAATCGACTCAAGATTTCAAATCTGGAAATTGATTTTGGTTTTTGTCTCACAAATGAAGGGTATCTATGAAGTAAGATCCTACTCTCAATCTGGGCTCTGTAGCTCAAACGGTTTGAGAGATATAAATTCCTAAAACTTTGATGCAAAAACTGGGTCTTTGGGAGGGGGTCTACGTAAAACTCTATGAATCTTTGCAGTAAGGTCAAAACTAAATACACTATTGGAAAGAGAATTGATAATTGATTCAAAACCATCTATCGCAAAAAGTTGAATTTCTGATTCCTACCCTTCGATTAAAGATATCCAAAAGAATTAGTGGAATATCATTACTCTCTTTACAAAAATAGTGAGTCTTCAACTATAACCAAACATGGTTTGCAACTTCCTCTAAAGTCTCTTAACATAGAAATGAATTTGAATTTCATCTTCCTGAAAATATTAGAAAATGTTAAGGGACCTTGGAGGAAGTTGCAAACCAAGTTTAGTGATAGTTGAAGACTTTTGGTCATGAGAGTTGCGATATTCCGCTAAATTCTTTTGATGTCTTTCATCGAAGGGAAGGAATTAGGAATCCAAATTTTTGCCATTGCTGGTTTTGAATAAGTTTTCAATTTTCTTTCCAATGGTGTAGTCAGTTTGACCTTCCTTCAAAGATTCATCGAGTTTCACTTATATACCCCCTCTCAAAGCCGCAGTTTGACCTTCCTTCAAAGATTCATCGAGTTTCACTTATATACCCCCTCTCAAAGCCGCAGTTTGACCTTCCTTCAAAGATTCATCGAGTTTCACTTATATACCCCCTCTCAAAGCCGCAGTTTTTGCATCAAAATTTTAGGAACTTATAGACCAAGATTATAGAAGATTATACATTATAGACGTGATTATAGGGTCGTTTTCTGTTGATTATACGAGTTGTACACCCCTCGGGGAGTTCACAGGATGAATTAATTGCATACAGGCAGTTCAAACTTGAACTATTTGCACCTTAAAAAAGGGGGAGAGTTAAGTAGGGGGAAGTGGAGGCGCAAAGGCAGAGCGGAAGGGAGCGGAGCGGAGCTGAAGCCTGGGGCCACGCTGGGCCCCCACCTTTAGTTTAGAATGTGTCGTCGTATGTATCAGTGTTAAATGTTTGATAAACAAGCAGGCCCGCCCTTCCGCCAAACGAAGTTGCCAGCTCCGCTTCGCTCCGCCGGCAACTCCGTTCGGCAGGGGCCGGGCCTGCTTGGCCTGCCGGCGGCGATGGTCGGGCCTGCGGCCCGACCATTTCTATCACGCGTTTTGATGAAGAACATGATCGACTGATGTAGCGGGCCTTCGGCCTTCGGGGGTAGTGGGAGAGTTCCCTTTCTATTTTGCGGATTTAGGCCTTTTTCTACAAGATATTGTTCACTATGGCAATTTTTAGCTTATTTTCGTCGAAAAAGACCCTCTAGCGCCCAAACGGTAAGAGATAGAGCAAAACGGACGAAATTTTCGCCCCAAGCACTCTCATTTCAGATATTACCCCTTACAAGATCATAAAAAAAATATACTTTTTCTTCGATACCCTCTTTCAGCCCCTTAGGGGTGGCTGGCAGGATTTGCCGTAGGCGGTTTGTTTTGTGGGAGTGAACCTTAAGATCCCCTGAAAGTCTCTAGCACATCTCCTTCTTGTGGAACAGACAGACAGACAGACACACAGACAGACACGAGGTCGTTTGCATAAGCCCGCTGGATAGCTTTTTCAAAGCAGAAGGGCGGGCTAAAAACGGACCTTTTTTCTCAGGTGTAGCCTGGGTGAAAATTCCGGCCATGTTTCCGGCCGGAAAAAGGCACTCCGGCCAGAAATGTATACGGTCGGAGGAGTTCCGTTATCCGGTCGGAATCGATACGGTTAACGACCGGAGCCAATATTGCCGGCCGTACGTTTTTCGGTCAACTGTAATTGACTTGTAACGCCTAAACTAAGAGTCACAGGGGGAAATGGCTGCGTGTGTTAGAGACTATGATGATATCAAACTGTACTTAATGCATGAGATAAAATATTTTTACTTTTTTGACCATAGGGCTACAAAGATAACGGCTATAGAAGGAGCAATTTAAATATCACCAACTTGCTTCACGCTGAAAGTTTACCCGGAAATCATTTTTTCCCGCGTCTTAAAGACGCTCTTGTACTCTGCTCATGTGGCACTCTCTGACTTCCTTTGGCCAGGAGGACAACGTCCGGCCGGAGCGTTCTCCGACCGCAACTATCTCCGGCCGGCGTCTGGACGACGACCGCACTCAGAAAAATGAAAAGTTGTAGCAACCAGCCTATGGTTACTGCAGGGACAACCATAAAATATGGTTGATCCAACAACAGCACAGGCGTATCAACTAAAAATACGGTTTTCACCACTGGCAGATCGTTGTCCCAACCATATTTTATGGTTATCCCTGAAAGAACCATTCGATGGTTCCTACAACATTTAATTTTTCTGGGTGCGGAAAGTGTTCCAATTAGCGGGCGGAGGAGCATTTACGGACGGAACTGATACGACCGGAGGAGTAGCGGACGGAAGTAAAACGACCGGAACTTTCACAGGGGACGCACCTGATGTACGCATTTGGCAGTGGTGAGGACCCAGTTGGCGTTCAGGAGTGTTCCACTGCAGCTGTGCCTCGGAATGTCGTTCCACCAGTCATTGACCTGGATCGACACGTGGTAGCCAACTTCGTTTCCATTCAGTGGTACGTGACGTTTCAGCATGGGATGCAGAGGTGTTCCTGTTGTAAAAAAAAAAAATAAAAAAAAAATACGTAAGTAAGAAGCATGCTTAGTGAATCTGTGGCTTTTCCCCTGCTTTCGTATGCAGTCTTCAGTTCACAGGTAAGTGCGGTTATAATTTGTCGTCTTCCGATTATTTTTGGAATGAAATAAGGATAGGACGCCCTGATGGCCAGTTTCAGAGCACG